TCATACACCAGCTTTAAAAGTATGTTGCTGATTGGTGGAACTTTCTGCAACCAGACAACATCGCTGTTGATGTGCTGGTCTTCAAATGACTTAAAAGAAAAATCTGTATGAGTTCATATATTTAAAGGGAGGATGGGTTACTGGTATGAGAGCTGGATAATATTTTATTTATTGAAAACAAAAAAGGTCACAGCGTGTTTCTTGTATTTTAAAAAAATGAACAAATAAAGTATTGTAATTAAATGCAATCCCTTTATTTAACCCTTCCGCTGTGTTAGAGAAGCTATTACACTGTGGTGAAATGGGACATTTCCAGTAATGAGACATCTAAAACACTTTAGTGAGAAATCACTGAAAGGAAATAGGGGAAGAGGACCGGCTTGACTTGTATCTAAGGCTGCAGTTGATGATACTGAAATGAAAAGCCAATGTTGCCACATTTAGTAAGCTCATCTTATTGAAAAGGCAGATGTAGAACACCCATATAAAATATAGGAATAACATGTTTCAAACAGTGGAAGACTGTTGTATGACTGAGTTTCACGGTATCATTTTACTGGATAACCAAATATCATACAGTATATCATGCATTGATAAAACATATCATGAATGGGCTGCATTTCAACCTATGCTGTTCAAATGAAAAGCAACAGGTAGAGCTCTGTTTTTATTCTAAATATTATAAAATTGTAATTGGCCTGCTTTTTAATAAAGATGTACAAGATTAGGCTGGTTGTGAGTATGAAAGTTTACCATAATTAGTTGACTCTCCCGGAGATAGTTAATATTTTGATTGCAAAATGAATTTTGCCTTTACTGGTAATTATAAAGAAAGTTTGAATGAATGAAATACATATATACGCAAAAATAAAATACGATCAAAGCATTTTCCCATGCTTTGTTCGTATTTTCCCTCCACAACATCATTTTATATACTCAATTCTGAAAATGTATTGTTCTCTGTTCTCGTTTTACACGGAGCCTCCTGTTACTTTTAAGTGCGGAACTGTTTGCACAATCCTGTGTGTGCGCGCCCTCTTCGACCTTGCACTTGTGACTGGGGTACCGACTGATGATACGGATACACTGTGTCTATGTGAACTAAAAATAAGTGTGTGTTTTGATGTTCGAACGCTTGGAGGGGGGCTTTAATGGGACGTGGACGTACACTTATTGTCTTTGTGTATTTGTAAAAGACTGAATAACCCGAGCCTGCGTCAGATCACTAATTGATCCCTGTTCAGCCAATTACTGCTAATAATTCAGAAGCAAAAGTATAATTTATTGCGTAAGGGGCTGTTTGATCCAAAAATAAAGGCCGTTTTGAGCCTGGGGCCGGCTCTGCTCACATTTTCCATAACATTGAACACAGGTTAAGTATTATTATTTTTTTAAATATGGGTTGAATGCAGACATGTATGTCCTTTACTGGAATTATAAAATGAAAGAGCCTTGTTCTAGAGTAATAATTCAAGAAAAGACAGACAGACAGACAGACAGACATACAGACAGACAGACAGACAGACAGACAGACAGACAGACAGACAGACAGACAGACAGACAGACAGACAGACAGACAGACAGACAGAGAGCTTATTACATTTTATTTGATTTTAATGGTGAGTGGGATTGTTTGATGACCACAGAAGCACATAACATAATTCTTAAATGGATTATTGAGGTGAACAATATTGCAATAAAGTACATGCAACGCAAAGATAAAGATAGGGAATTGATAGAGAGAAAAACACTTTACATGATAGAACCGTGCACACCCGGCACGTGTGTCTGTGTGCGTGCATGTGCTGCAGTGTGATCTAAATACATACCTCGCGCGTTGCCTCTGCGCTCACGGGGAGTCTGCTCTCACATACAGTTGCATCACCTCGTTTGATTTCCTTGTTCTCCCTCCGCCTGTAAAGTCCATCATTAACAGGATTAAACAGCTGAGAGATGGAACTGGAGGGTTTGAGGCGATGTTTCCCGGTCTCCTCGCCTGATTGGGTCAGAGAGAGATGATGTCAGACGACCGCATGCGCCCCGGATTGGAGAGAGAGGAGTAAACAAAGCCGTGAGGAGGAGGAGGAGGAGGAGGAGGAGGAGGATGAGAGGTCTCCACATCTCCAGACTGTCCGACCGACACACCGATTCCGACTTTACGCACAAGAGGGGGCGGCGCCGTCGGCACGTTCTCTTCTGCTAAAGGCTGAAAGTTACACTGAAGGACCCACTTTAATGGGTGACGCGCTAAAAAAGACTGTTGGAAGAGCTACAGGGAAACTTACTATCGTATTTTATTCCGGACACTGCAGTTTTCTCGTTTGAGTAAGAGACTGATTCCTTTACTCAGCGTGAACTGTTCCTTAATAAGTACCGAACAAACCACGCGTGTGGTCTACGTTAGTATTGCTGTTTTGTGCGCAAGTGCAATTTACGAGAAATTAGATAAGTAAACTTAAATTATATCAGACAAGCACCGGCTATGCAGCCCGGCCGTTTGAAGACAGCCTGACTCGTTTGAATCAGGCTTCATATTCGCAACATGTTCCAATAATTGGAAGACAGAGATAGTTATACATAAGAGATAGAGATTTAAAACAAAGACATTTGGGACTCTTTGAGGGGTTTATGTGGGAACATCTGCTTCTCACGTCCAGGTGTCCCGCCGAGCGGTGCGGACTCTGCAGCTCAGGCCGGCAGCGCTGACATGCTGCCTAAAGTCGATACGGAATCACTCGGAATCACTCGATCGTATGGAGAACAAGGGCGTATGCCAAGGAATATGCAAGGTAAGAACTGTCATTCATTTACATCTCGTAAGACTACATGGCAGATTAATAAACGTCCTCTTTATTTACGAAACATAAATGGACTGCAAGTTCTTGGTGCGTGCCTCAGTGTCACAGAAAAGTTTTGGACACGCGTAAATCCAAAACATTTCTGCGGACAATTAAAAAAATACCGGTCATATAGCCAATATAGCCTTATTATTGAATGAGGAACGTGTTCAATTTGGTCATTTGTAAACTGTTCTGGAATTTCAATGAATGTTGTTGAGGATAGGCTTCTGATATTTTATTGTAATATTTATATTAGGCCTATTATAAAATATAATAAGTAACCCACCAATCCAGATCAAACCTGGACACATGTGTAACGTTTGACGATCAAAAAATTATGACACCCAGCTGTCACTGCATGCTGGAAGTGCTCGGGCGCCTGGTGAGTTAACACTGCGAGACAGAGCATTGTGTATTTAGCCTTTTAATGTATGTGGTTTAATAATACAAAATAATTCAAATGACTTAATGTAGGCAGCATACGCAGAATAAACTCCTGATTTAGTCTTTATACAAAAAGTAGTGAAAAGATAAATGTTGCCAACATAAAAGTCAGAAGAAAAAAAAACTGTAGAGGACAATTTTAGAGTTTTCATAACATTATTTTCTCTTGTCTAAATTTGACCTCGGGACAGTAAACTTTCGTCTAAGAATGTGATCTAACACAAAGTCTGTAAGCATTGTTAAAAAAAATAGACATCAAACTAATTTATCCTTTTGTGTTTCTAACCAAAACCAATTGTTTTTTTTTTATAAATGGCCTAAAATGAATTGAATTTCAAAATGATGTTGAATAGGAAACCAAACATTTTTCATCTGATTTTCTTCCAATTACTTTACTTATCTCTTTTGTATAATAGTATTTGCCTTCAATCTCCGCGCGAAAAAAGGGTTAAAAAAACCTATTCGATAAAAAAAAAATCCAAACGTTTTTTGTGTGTATTATTCCATACGGCATGCCTACATTTTTCTTGATCTGTTTCAAAACATCCACATAAATCAGAGAACATGTAAAAATGGACTGACTCCTTTGCCAAGATAAACTCACTTGCCACTTATTCCCCTCACGTCATTCCGCAGTAATATAAACGGGCAATCAATTAGCCCAGTCCTGGTTTATGACCATTGATAACACACACACTCACAAGACAAGGAGTGGCTTGTTAGAGAGCCCGTTATCTAAATTGTACGCAAGGCTAAAAACAAGGTAGCTCTGACTGAAAGAGCCTTTCTCTTAGAAAGTGCATAGGGACAAATGTCGTAGCTTTTGGAAATTAGTTTCAAGCAAGTGGCCGTCGAGGTGAGAGCTAGCAGGTGAGTTTGTTTATTCGCCTTCTAAAGCAATTTAACCTGCACACACTGTGCGCAAACCTCCGCTTGTTTAGGAAGCAGGGATGCAGGAGAGCTCAACTAAACTCAATTTAGCCACATCTTTACTTTAAACAATTATGCATTTTCTTGTTTGTTTTTTTAAACAGATAGAAGACAATTCATCTTCCTAAAGGCCAATGAACGGAACATAGCAGCAGTATAATGTATAATTGTATGGAAGATTTGATCCAAAACCCAGAAAATATATTGCTGAAAAAAATTATGTATTTCTGTCATTAGGACCATTTACAATTCAAGAGCTCGTTTTGTTTTTATTTAGCACGGCCTCGTCTACTGATAGCTGCAACCAATGCCTCATCAATGTTCATTTTTCTTTACGTCTAAATCTACAGCTGCCGTGTGTAAAGATAACAGCTCTACAAATGTTTTTTTTTCTGCGCTTAAAGGTAGAATAAAGTTCGGAAATGGAGTTTGCTTAGAGCTTCTGTGGAAAAACCGGCAGCTCGGTGGAACTTGTTGCTTCAACTGGAATATGCAGTGCGGATCCCAGCAGGGCAACGCGTTAACAAACATAAATCATGTCTAATTAAAAGGTATCAGTGAGCAGATGAGGGGATTCTGAAATAGAGCAGTAATTGATGTGAAGGCCTTGGAGGGCGACTAGTTGACACAATATTTCCACTTTTACAGCCATACACTGAGGTTTTCCTGTTTGATCCATGGCATGCTTTTCATGATTAGAACCATAAAGGCTTTTGTAAGCGTTGTAAAAGTCAGCCTGAATGTTTGCTTAGCGTTGTCACACACCGTCTTATCATGCAACTATTTATATACGCAAGGCAAAGGGACTTCAACAGACCCATCGACATACTATTCGAATGGAAGTATATATTCAGTCTTTAATATAAATAAAAATACATGCGAAAATTGGCCACTGTTATGGGATTTAACTAATTGCTAAATGTGTTTTATAACAGTGGTAGATTGTGTACAAAAATGTCATGTTAAATTAGCCTATATTGAAAGCTCGTAAAACTGAATTTTGTTTCCAGCGCACGCAGAAAGTCATTGAATGCTGCCTCTGCTTTTGCACCACCAACATACATAAAATAAACTAAAGCAGTTGGCCTATAGCATTGTGAGTTATTCTTCGAGAAGGAGAAATAATATTGGTTCAAGTAGGTTTTGAATGTTTTTTTTCTCCTCGCCTGCAGAGATAAGGGATTCTCTGTGTGTCTTCATTTGTCTGTGGGCGGTAACATTTTCTCCTCCAATCCTTAACTCTAATACCTCTCCATTTCCCCCAGCGATTTCACGACTTAGATGCATGCATATTTATGAGGCTCACTTTCATGCGCTATTTTATTTTTTGGCTCCTGTCTGCAACGAATGTAGAAGAGAGGGCAGCAGCAAGGAGAAATAAATGGTTGAGTCCTTTCAACTCATTCCAAAATCGACGATTCATCGTCTTCCCCTCCTCAATTTAAAACTCTACAAGTCCAACAGAACTTAAAAAAAAATGCTCGTTCAGTTGCATCGCGTGGTTCCCCGTGATTCATTTTGATGGATGAAAGTATGCTTTGGAAAAGAGATTGCTCAGCACTGAAATAGACTTCTCTCTGTGTGTCCGCATCTCATCCACAGCCCACCAGTTAAAAATGATGGACTACTCCTATGACGAAGACTTGGACGAGATGTGCCCCGTTTGTGGAGACAAGGTTTCAGGCTATCACTACGGACTACTGACCTGCGAGAGCTGCAAGGTTAGTGCGCTCATTCTCCTCTCTATTATAATGATGTTTTGAGTGCATGGTGACCTTCCCCTATCTGCTTGATATTTCAAATGTTCCTAGTGATTCAAATTGTTTGCCGTAGTGAGTTCTCAGTAATATAGTTGCCTAATTATTGGTTTCACTTTAAAGTTCCTGTAGTGCATCAAAGTCAGTGTCAGGTGGGCATGATTTTGCATTGTCCACATTTAAAATACACTTTGTAGATAGTAATACTGTGGCTCTTGTATTTCATTATGGCAGCTTTATTTCAGTGTCTCTATGTATCTGTGGTGGTGCATTCTTAGCAGTTGTATTTGTGCACGCTAGGCATTCAGCCTGCATTCTTGTCCAGAGTGACTTGTAACAAGTGTAACTCTTCTGTTAAGATTCAGTTCCTTGTCATTAACATTACAGGAAAACCAAAGGCAAAGAGGCCGAGGGTGAAATATTGTTGTGACAAGTGATGTAACACACTTTTCCTGTGAGGGTCAGAGGATTTTGTAAAGTAGTGAAAGGCTTGGAAGGGGTTTTTGTCATTTTTGCAACCGTCAAACACAGGAGGCAGGGGTGTGTGGGTTTGACCCAGGAAGCAAAGTACACAATAATTCCGTCTCTATTTACACAAGCCTGTATTTTACCGTCCAAAACTCTCATCACAGGTTAATTAAAGGAAGAGCAACATTGTCTGGTTGCAAAATGTTTCCGTACACAGTGATAAGGCTACCACAAAGCAAGCTGTTGCTGATATTATTTGAGCTCTATCAACAACCTGTTTGTCCCTTTCGGCCTATTTCCTCGTTCTCCTCAACACTGAGCTAATAGGCTTTATCTACGTTTTTGTGTTTGCCCTGCAAAACTGTCATCACAAAATTAAGCTAAGACAAATGTCTCTGTGTTAACACTATTCAGTGTAAAATTGGCCGCTCACAGTATTAATGCTGCAGCACACATTTCTTGCCTATGTGGTAATTATTCAAAGCAGATGTTATAGATTGTATCCCATATTATGACCTTGAGATGCTAAGCACTTGCTTGACGGGAGACGTCAGTGGCATCTCTGCTGCTTGTCAGCCTCAGCACAGGCTTGCGTTGGAGAGCCAATCCACAAACACATTTCCAAGTTTAGTTGAAACGCTGTGCGTGTGCATGCAGAATGTAGATGAAGAAGTCTTTTATGAAATGCTGCACATCCTTGTTGAAACATGAAAGATATTGGTAATTACCTGAAGCGCTTCATTGATTCTCTCTTAAAACGCAGGCACTTTATTCAGTAAAAGTATGTTTGTCAGATGTGTGTGTTGATAATACACAGACTCCTGTATATTGAATATTCGCTATCATCTCCAGTGTAATAGAGGTTCCTCTCTAGATGCAGCTGAATGGAAACTGGAGTTATAGGTTATATTTTAATTTTGTTGTTGTATGAAAGTACCTCGGCTCAGATTTGTAATGCAGCACCCGAGTAAGATTCATAACTTTTTCGTATCTGATTTGAAAACACTACTTAATTTTCGAGTGAGATTTTAGATGTAATTTACCTATCAATCTCCAAAAACGCAGTTGTGAATAGGACACATTTGTTATCAGATGCAGATTTTGGGGATTATTGGTTAACATGCAATTTTTCGGCTAAGGAACACACACCTACAAACACATGCAGAAAGAGAAACCTCCTTATAATCCTCCCAGCAGAGAGTGTTGGTCCATACTACACCAGCCTACATAAAGTAAACATGGTCCCACATCATACCTGCCGCAATAACAACAACAAGCTGAACCGGCTTCATGGTGCTCGTTGTACACAAACAGGCACGTTCCCAGCAGTCTTCATTTTGGGAGACTGAAAGAGCAACAGCAGAATAATAATAATAATGTTGTAATCCTCAAATTCTGACATTACAAGAGACTAAAGAGAGGGTCAAGGGTCAGTCATATTGATCAGTGGACATCTACAAAAAATAGATCTGCAGAGTAGTAAAAATAACAAAAAATTGATAGGAGAAATTAAAATGAGTAAAGAAAGTTGAGGGTAAAGGATTTTACATTTTTGTCATTTTAAAGTTAGACAGATCACAAAGCAAATTAGGTATAGAGAATAGGAGACGAGGATCAGAGGAGATAAAGTGGTGATATGCATTATATTTGTATATAATATGCATTATATTTTTCCTTACCGGCCCGCATTGACGTGTAGTTGAAGCAGTTTTCTGGTCTTTTTCGGAATTTCAAGGTCAGGAAAATCAAGATAATTTAAAAATGATATTGGACATTACATGTTAAAATAGCTTGTCTCTACTTTACAGCAAATCATTTAGAATTATTGTGAGGAACATAGATTTTATGTTGAACTGTGAGAAATTAAAATGAGAAACATTCTTTGGCAACAGACAGAGGCAAAATGTCAGCAATTCCTTTATAAATACAAATGCGCCTTGGCGATTGCCTTTTCTTAGTTTGAACTGCCAGTCAAATTCAAGCTTTTCAGGGATGTTGTCTGCTTAATCTCCAGACGTGGTTTTTAAAGCATGTAAGAATCCAGTTTGGTTCAGATTTTTATAGCATATGCTGTGCACTAAATGGAAAATTGGAGAGAAAGTTCTCTCTAAAGCATGGATTTTTTAGCACTGAGAAGTCAATAATCCAAAACCGAGTGCTGTGGATTTTTTTGGGAGGACGGATCAGGCAATGCAGATTGTCAATTAAATTTGGGGTTTGGTGAGATATTGACAGCAGTACGTTCTTTTTTTTCTTTTCTTTTTTTTTAAAGACCAGGTTTAAGGATTCTCCTCCTAGGTTATGGATCTAGAATACGTTAATACCATTTTCCCTTCGTTTGATTTTCACTGCTGCTGCCTATAATTAATTCCACGTTACAGGTAAATCTCTGTAATCCCGGAACTGTGTATTATGGATATAATTTATTGGATTCCTGTGCTCATATTTTTCAATAATTAAGTGGAAAGTTGAAAATATGCTTTCCCCTTAAATTATTTTCCAGGATTTATTGAGATATTTTTAATAGTGAGAATAGCGATGTAATTTTTACGGGACACATTTTACATTTCATACTTTTTATAAAAGTAGTGTAGGCAGAAAAAGACTGTGTAAAGTAGATAAGCAGATAATCTATGTTTTTTTTAATTTGTTTAAAGTGATATTGAATTAGGTATATTGTAAATGCAAATGTACAAAAATGGACTATGTGTGACTATATTTGTAATATAATTTGTATTAACTCTTCAGATAGATGGACATTTGTTTTATTTGTGATAAGTTTGTTTTCATGCCCAGCTTTATATTCTACATGTGTGTGTGTGTCCGTAAGCATCACAACATAATTTGAAGTGTAGCTACAAAAACTTCACCCTGTGTGTGTGTGTGTGTGTGTGTGTGTGTGTGTGTGTGTGTGTGTGTGTGTGTCTATTAAGCCTACCCTCTCCATCTGTCTGGGAGTGTGAATGGGCCAATTACCATCGCATTGCAGGGGTCAAGCAGGTTGACGTCTTAATTGGTTCTCTCTGCAGGGCTTCTTCAAGCGCACCGTCCAGAACAACAAGCGCTACACATGTATAGAGAACCAGAGCTGCCAGATTGACAAGACCCAGAGGAAGCGCTGCCCGTACTGCCGCTTCCAGAAGTGCCTCACCGTCGGCATGAAGCTAGAAGGTATGCAGCATCTTGTTTACATTTTCACAGTTGGTGTTTGCCTCAAGACACAATGACTTGAGATTACAAGTCGTTTGGTGTTTTGCTTCTGTAATTTAATGTGATTTCATTTTAAACACAAGGTTAGAATGAGAAATAATCAGGAAAATGTACCTCAAACGCAAAAGGATTCATAATTCAGACAAAAATGCCTCCTGAGTCACATACTTGTAATATTATTATTGATACCATTTTACTGTTGTATATGGTTGAAGTGGAGCTAATATTTACTGTTATAAACTATTGGTTCATTTCAATGTAACAATATAATGTGTATGTATCTGTAAAAAACAACTGTATTGATTTATGCTGTCAATTAAATGTAGAGTAGTAAAAAGTATGTTTTTGTACTGTAGTAGAGTAAAAGGATAAAGTAGTTTAAAATAGGAAATACTTACTCACCATAAATCTTTTTATATTTTAATCTGGGTAAAAATGTATCTCTTTAAAGTTAAACCTACTGTTTTATATGAATGATTCAATTTCACCACTTAATATGTCTATTTTTGGGTTTTCATGGCAAACACCACGCAAATATGATCCAGAGCAATACAGTAAGCATCTTGGAAAAGAAGATTTTTCTGAGTGTGTGCTACGTTTTATATATTTCAAGATATAATTCCATTTTGCAATTATTGAAAGCTAGGGATGGACATTTTAACAAGAAGCATCACAAATCGGAGGTTGATTGCTTCTGGACTTAAACTACGCAGTGATTTAAAAGTTTGAGTAGAGTGGTAGAGCTAGTATTTTTCCATGAATTTCCACTTCAACACAGATAATCATACCACATTCACTTTTTCTTATTCAACTCAGAGTGAAAATGTTCTTCCATGATCAATTTGCATGTGAATAGTTCCTCACAAATTGACGTTTTCCACCATTCAGAAAAGGTTGATACTTACTCTGACAATATAATTGCCTGTATGAAAGGAGAAGGTTATATTTATTTAAAAGCTTAACAATGAACATCTCAGTAATATCCTTCTCGCAAATGTATAGCTAGAACTTTGTGAAAAGAAACCTTTCATTACTACCAAAGCGGTGAAATCCAACATTGCTTATTAGTATTTTGGATGGGGTCAGGGGGAGTTAGGGGGTATCTTGTAGCTGCTGTGCACTTAAACTTGCCAGACAGCGTAATAGATAAAATATTAAACTTGGCGGCAGGGCGAGAATGGTAATGATGATACTTTTGGCCGGCCGGTTCGAGGCCTCTTTGTTTAATTTGAACGTGGCTCAGAAGCTTGTTCAAACACTGTTATCCAGAAGTGACAGTACTGCAGGGCAAGAAACATTCTTCTAACAGAAAGATAATATTTAAAATCAACTTTTGTCAGCACAAGTTGACAGGTTTTATACTGAAATCCCTAATTCTGGATTAAATACATTTACCTGAAGGTTATCTTGTAATATATATGTGCAAAATAGGGGATTTTAAAGCTAGAGGAAACAGTTATTAATTTGTCGACTGAAGAGTAAAGTTATAACATTGTCCTTTAAAAGAATCTGCAAATTGTTTCAGTTTTTTACTAAAAGTAGGTGTTGCTATTCTTACGGTTTCAGATACATAAACCAAATTCTTCAAATGTTTTTATTTGAACTGAATCAAAAATCCCTAGGCTCCTGGAATGATCACACACAATTGAGAAAAGTTAATGTGTTAAAGAAATAAGACCCTGGGAGGGTGATGTAGAGCGAAGACAGTCTGACTAAAATCTCTCCTGAGGCTTCTTCCCCCTTTAGCTGCCATGTGCAGTGTAATTAATTGCTGTTAATTGTGAATGGCCGCTGGGCAGAATGTCTTGGCCTGTCATTTTCCAGCTGACACAGGTGGGGAGGGGATAGCTTTTGATTTGTTATGCTGGCGGTAGTTTTCAGCTCGGGGGCAAGACAGGCCCTGCAGCACTCTGTCAGGGGCCAGAAGCTCCAGTGAGCAACTCCTGCCACAAGCAGTAAAGACGTCCTGTACAGAATGGCTGACACACCTCAGTATACACACACACACACACCTGGTAAACACATACATATATTCATGAAAAAACCCCAAAAGGTGTTCAGAAGGCCACAGGCAAGAGGGAGAAGCTGTCATTTGATCTTTAAAAAAGTGCGTGTAAAAAAGCGTTGGAAAGGAAAAGGAGGTTTGGGGTCATGTGCTTGTTATTACAATCTTTTCATTCCATTACACAGCAGCTTGCAGAAACATGTGAATTCAGGATATCGACTGGAACCAAATGTGACTCAAACTGTAATTTTTCGAATGTTTACTTTTGCCTTTCTGGTGTTGCTCAAAGTCCTTCCTGTTTGTTGAAAAGTGTGCTAACCTTTAGGACAGTGTGTGCAGTTTGCAGTGAGGGTGGTAGCAGTCAAGATGTCGTTATTAGCGTGTGTAAAGTTCAGAGAAGGCAGCGAAACAAGGTGAAAAGGCGGACGGTCCAATATCAGAGTGATATACAGAACACAGTGTCCAAACACTAAGAGATTAGTTGTTTTATCTAAAACTGATAACAAAAACAAGAATACATAACTTACCTCTGAGCCAGTGTGTAACATCCAAGGTTTTCCAATACAACATAATCATGTTATTGCATCAACTATGAGAGTAGATTAAGCTGTTAACTGTAAACATTTTGTTAACATAGTCACAGGTTTAATTCCAGCAATTAAAAGTGAATCTGGAAATGTGAACTGTGACCTTAAACAACATTTAACCAGATGCCATTAGCAGCTAACATCTATCAGTTCAATTTGTACAAATACTGGTGTTCATCATGTAAATATAAAAACATAAGATTAATATGTGTCTACAAAAATCTATTTTAATCCCTAAATTAATCATTTGTAGTTACTGAGAGTCTCAAACAGCATTATAGGAAAACAAATTCACAACAAGGCAAACACACACTATCTGTTTTCCATACACTCACACAGTGGTGATTGAGCCTGGCAGCCTCACACAAACAGACTTGTAAAAATGTTGCTTCTTGGTATGCACTGTAGCATCACAGCTCTCAGTGAAGACTCCTTGAGAAAAAGAAAAAAAGCGACATCCCACTAAGGTTTGACCCATTAGCACATCATTCACTAAAGCTGATGAAGCGTGCCGTATCTGAACGGCTCCCACTGGCATGATTTTCTTTTTATGCTCGCTAGAAGTTGTCTTGCATCACATGCTTCACTGAGCGGCCTAATATTTCCTTAACCTGTGTATCATCTTAAAGACAGAGCCTAAGAGAGGTATTTGTGATACTGAGAATTCAATTTGAAGTTCCATTATTGTTTTCTTAACATCAATTGAAAAGTTGATGACAGGCACCCATGTAAAATAAGAAAATATTTTGACAAAAACAAAGAACAGGATGCAACGTGTACTCCACTGATACAAGGCTGATTATTTCACTGTCTCCTCTCCTTCACAGTTTTAAAATACCGAACAACAAATAATATTATGTTTAGCTTGATACAAAGCAGCCACTGTTGTCTTGTCTTAAACCATAGCAAAATACTGATTTAAAATGGCCTTTTTTGACTTAACTCTAATTTATTTTTAATATATTATTCCACTTTTCGCTTGGACTTACAACATCACTGATCAGACTCCCAAAGGCTTCTTCCAGTTATATTTATTTTGAACCATTTTGTTTAATGCAACCGATTGTCAAATCTAGATTCATTAATAATTATAAATGCAAAACTCAGATAGAGTCATGAGCACAAATTAGCGTCACCATGTGAGCGTTTAGATATTCCTCACTGCATATCTCTCCCTCCACTTTTTATTTCCTCCCTGCATCTTTCTTGCTCTGATTTGTCTTCCATCAGCCTCAGTACCTGCGATGGAAGCCAGGGAGCTGTCCCATTACTTATGCATAGGTATCATAGGTATTCATGTGTGTGCATGGGATAGGGCGCATCCGGAGCAGGGGCCGGGGCCCCGACATGACAAACAGGGTGTCAGCAAGGCTCCGCGGGACCCATTAATATGCTGCTGGCCGACAGGGATCCTCACCTACGCGCGCTTAATATTCCTGTATATTAAACAACCATAAATCAGAGGATATAAGCGCTGAGGGCTGTTGTGTGTGTGATGTGTTTCAGTGTGCTAGGAGCTATGTGTGCAAAGAAATTGTGGGTGTGAAGGATGCTGTGTGTGTGGGTGTTTGTGTTCGTGCGTGTTGGAGATGGGGTGTAAACTGAGTACTGGATACTTCAAGAAAAGTTCAGAAGGGTTTTAGATGGGTCAGTTTCTTAATTTATTAGGGATGTAACGATATATCGAATATCGCGATAAATAAATGTCTCAATACCGTCGTGAGACTGACTGATTTAAATACATTTTTTTTTAAACCTTTATTCAACAAGGTGGTCCCATTGAGATCATCGATCTCTTTTTCAAGGGAGACCTGTCCAACATGGCAGCAAGTAGGTTACAACATGAACATAAAACAACAGATAACAATAAAGGACATCGTATTTACAGGGCTACATGTACATACCTAGAGACATTGACAAGTACCAACAGTATATTTATATCTCGCCCAGTCAATAAGCCTCACCTTCTTGGCAAAAACGGTATTGTTTTTGAAGTGGTGGAGAGACAATGCACGGTTTTACCCACTGCTGTCACCCATGGCCAAAGCATATCTCTCTGTCCCGGCAACATCAGTACCAAGCCAGAGAGTTTTTTCCACAGCAGGGGATATTGTAAACGCCCAAACATCCCAGCTTCTACCTGGAAATATGGACATGCTCATATTCCTAAAAGATAACCTTGATGATGCTGAGTGAGTGAGTTAGTGAGTTTGAGTTACTTGATTTATTCTATTGCAGGGTCTGATTATTATATTGTTGACACTTTAAAATACTACTATCCTACTAAAATGCTGTACAAATCAGATTTATTATTTAATAAAGAAAACAAATTTCAAGTAAAAAAATAAAGAAAAAATTCAAATTTTTTTCTTTATTTTTTCAATATCGCGATAAATATCGTACCGTGGACTTTTTATTGCGATATTATCGTACCGTGAGTTTTTGGTATTGTTACATCCCTATAATTTATACAAGAGAGTGTGTGCCTATGTGTATTTGTCTGGACAGGCTCTCAGACAGAAGGTCGGAGAAATTCAAAGTGAACGATAGCGTCTGCCTTTTAGCCTTTCAGCCTGGCTTCAGCTCCAAAGCCTCACTGCTAACCCACAAGACAACCTCCCCTAAACCAGATCCTTTCCACACCAATAAAAGAAGGTTTAGAACAATTTTTTACCTTGAGATGCTTTGTAATCTTACAGTATATATTTTTAAATGTTATTTCCTCTTTTTCTCCTCTTTTTTTTTACTATTCCTTTGCA